CACACACACACACACACACACACACACACACCACACGCTTCCTCTCGCACTGACTCTACCCCCTCTCTATCCTTCTCGCTCTCCTGCCCTCTCACTCTGTTCCCCCCCCCTCTTTCTCCCTCTCCCCAGAACTACAGCCCATGCCGAGACTGTGCGGCAGAACTTCTCAAAGCCATCAATTTAGCCGAGGAGAAGAAAATCAAACTCAACATCTCCATCACCTTTGTGGCGCTCAACAAAATACGGCGGCCATCTTGGATCAACAGAGGTCTGTGCACCGCTTTCGGTGACGTCAGCATCAACGAGTCCAATGAGAACATCTTGGGTCTGAGGTTGCTGCTCAAAGCGGGCGTAAAACTGACGAGTTTCAACAGTGAGACGTGGAGGTTCCTGTACGCCTTCCTGGGTCAGGGCCTGCCGTCAGATAGTCCGGGGAAGTTCCTGTCTGCAAAATACAGCGGCGCTCAAAGCGAGGCCAGGGCGGAGGAGGACAGGTGGACGCAGACTGACCTCAAGCAGATTCTCAAAGGTCACACAGCTACACTGCTCCTCCTCTTGTGCCTTGTCTTGTTAGATCTCACTGGTTGTTCTTTTGTTCTTGTTAGATCTCAGAGGTAGTTCACTGGTTCTTCTTTCGTTTTTGTCTTGTAGGTGGGTGCTCTGGTGTGGTTTGCCCCTTTTTTCTATCAAGCATCTTTATCTTTTTATCTTTTGTATCTCTCCTCCTTCTTTCCTTGTAAGTTACTCTCTTGTAACACATTTATTCTTCGGCACTTACATGACCTATTTGTGTTGCAAGCGCTGTAAAACTCAGACTTAAACTCCAACTGTCTCCCTTAGGTATCCACCTGACGTCACCGGCGCTCAGCACGGAGAACTCGATGCTGCCGCTGGCCTGGTCACATCCCATTCTGGTGGGAAACAAAGTCGGGGAATATCGGCTGACAGTGAGGAAGGTAGGGCTGCCCGGGATTTGTCTGTTCTAGCTGTGTGTGTGTGTTTGTGTGTGTGTGTGTGTGTG